TTTGGTTTTTCTCCGGTACCGGGAACTGAACTCACGACCTTGCGCTTGCCAGGCAGGCGCTTTTGCTGCTGAGCTAAATCCCCAGCCCCTGATTTGGTTTATAGTAGTTGCTGAGACAGTTTTGGTTGGATGAAAAATTAGTGAACGATAGCCAGGTGTGATGGTGCACACTCATGACCCTAGCACTTTGAAAGCTGAGGCAGGAGGGTTGCCTCAGGTTTGTTGCCAGCCTGGGCTACATCGTGAGTTTAAGGGCAGTGTGATCTACATAGTGAGACTGTGTCTCAAAAAAGAAAAAGAAAAATTAGTGAGAAAGTCGTTATCTTTTTGTGATTCATGTCTCAACTTTAGAGTTGGAGAAATAAAGACTACTATATAATGTGTTTTAAGTTTCTCACATTTATGCAAACAGTGTGGAGGAAGAAATTAGTTCTGTGTGGGGGAGTGTGATAGACTCATGAGAGAGACATCTGAGCTAGACTTTGATGGATGAGTAGGAGTTCTGCAAGGCAGGAAGAGCATTCTAGGTAAAGAGTAGGATCCTCCAGTGACTCAAATCTATTTCCTTTTTAGGGCTTAAATGCCTTGAGCTAAGAAGACAGAAGTAAGGCTGTAATACCTAACAGTTAATTGGTGTGCATTATGTGCCCGGTAGTGGAAGTGGACTTTACATGTGAAATGGACACTAGTAACTCCACATTCCAGTTTAGAAAACAGTGGAGGAAGGTTTAATTTTCCAGAGATGGCTTCGCTGGTGAGATGACAACCCTTACGTTACCTGCGCCCTGTCTGAACGCTGCTTAAGAAGTTCAGGCTTTGTGGGTGCACAGCAGGGAGCGGTTGAGGCGGGTGTCGTCAGATGTGGGTGTACAGGGTAGATTGAGAGACCCTCAGCAGAGGGAGGGCCAGAAATTGAGATACTTGGTGCTCTGCGGTAACTTCTTGGAGGTCTCAGTTCCGTCCTCGGCCTGGGAGGAGAACCCTTGAGGGGTACAGAGGAGAGATGAATCAGAAGACTTCATCCAGCAAGGAAGAACTGACTAATCTGTCAGGTTTACAAAGGGAGAATAAGGCAGGTGGTGACGTGCTGAAAGGAAGTGTTACCTACCGAGCTGGTGCTGGGTTTTGGTATATACACGGTTTAGATTTTCTATATATATAAAATATATATAATATATAAATGGAGACATAGAAATGCATTGAAATTACGCTCACTTTTCCAGTGTGGGGCAACCATCAAAACTGTTTGGCGCTACTGATCCAAGTATAACCAAGAGCAGTATCATCACCCAGGGGTCAGTTAGTCACGGGGAAGCAAGATTGAGTAGGAGAGGTGAAAAGTTGATGACCTGTACTTGTGCTTCTGTAAGTGGTAGTTTGCTTTCTTTCTTTTTGAGCCAGTTGTTTTTTGTATTTTGAAATAACCTGAAAACGTCATTTAAGCTCACAGTGAAGGTACTAAGGGGGAAGAAGGTTCCATTCCTTTTGAGAAAGGCGCTCCATCCCTGTGGGAGAGGCCGTGTCCTGATCACTTCTTGGCACTGGAATGTTTGGGAGTGGAATAGGCGTTAAGTATATCAGTGGCTGCTTCTTGCTACACTTCAAATCCCAGCCACATAGTCATCTGGCTTTTGCTTGAACCCTCTGAGAGGGAGGCAGCCCAGTTCTTCACAGAAAGTTGAGACAGACGTTAACTGGTAGAGTTCTACCACCGCAAGGCACGATTCGCACGCCGCCATGCACCTTCTACACATTTCCGCCCCTTGAACAGTTGCCGAACTAGGGACCCTATCTGCGGTGGTTTACAGTTTTTCCAGGCCGCTATCCGTGCACTCTTATTTGATGCTTACAGGTCTTCCGTGGAGTGAATAGGCATATGTTTAAATGCACTGGATAAATAAATGAGGCAGCTGGAGATTACAGTCTAGCTGACGAGCATTCTGGTTATTTTGTACACCAGCATTTGTCATGCCTGATTTGCATGCGCTATAGAGGGAGGCATTGTAGCACCAGAAGCCAGTTGACCTGAGCTTCAATTCTGGTTCTGCCACTTTCCAGTAACAAGACCTTGGAGAAGTTACGCCGTCTCTGAGCTGCAGTCTCCCGTTCGTCTATAAAACAGGAGTAAAGTCCTCCACCTCTGAGCCCTATTGGAACAGTCATTGTACTTCACTGTAAATGTTTAGCTTAAATTAAATGTGCCATAAATGTGAAAAGCAAGACTGCTTTTCCTGTCCTGGTTCAAATAAAATTTTAAACTCTTGGGGTAGCATGATGTTTAGTTTTGTTAAATTTTCTATCAGGGGTTCAGTTCCATTGTATCCATTGAAAAAGGTTACTTTGGAACTTCACTCCATCATTTACCTTTTTAGGTGTCCCATAATCATGAATAGCATACTGATTTTGAAAAAACAAGAAATGTATTTATTTCAGAAGTTGTGAGAAGATGTATTGTCAGAAACTTACGTTATTTCCATTTTAAGATAATAGACTCTATTTTTTTTTTTTTTTTT